AAAAAAAAAAAAAAACAAAAAAAACTCCCAGATCTTCCTGACCTCACTCTCAGCTAACATCCCTCCTTCTCATTTCCCTGAGGTTCAGTCCCATCGTATTGCATCTCTGAGCAGCATTTGGCAACGCCGATCATTTCCTTCTTGTCGAAATACTTTCTCTCTTTGGCCTCTGAGATACCATACTCTCCTGGTTTTCCTCCTCAGCATCCTTCTCTAGATTCCAAATGTTGAAGTGACCCTGAGCTCTGTCCTCAGCTTTCCTCTCTCTTCTATCTACACTCATTCCCTAGGTGTGAGTGTAGCCAGTCCCGTGGCTTTATACATTATCTCTATCTCCGTGACTCCCACTTTAAATCCCTAGCCTGAGTTATTCTGTCTTTCTGAAGCTGCAGACTCATATATCCAACTGCCTATTGACATCTCTACTTGAAGGTCTAGTTGGCAATTTCACGTGTCCAAAACATGTTCACTTTTCCCTACTCAGACCAAACTCTGTCGCTCCCAATATCCCCCCATATTTGTGACTGAAACCACCATTCACCCAGTTGCACATGCCAAAAACCTTGCAGTTAACCCTTGACGTCTTTCCCTCTCACCTCACATCCAATCCATCTGCAAATCTCTCTGTTCTATGTAAAAAAAAAAAATCCCTAATCTGATCATTTCTCCCCACTTCCTTCCTGACCATACTAGTTAAAGTCAGCATGGGGTATTATTTAGACTCCTGCAATCTCTTCCTAACTGCTTCTACTCTGAGCTCTCTAGGACCAGAGTCCTCTTTGGAAAAATCAACCCACGCCCCCACTCCCAATTCTCTAGTAGTTTTCCATCACAAAATAAAATCCAGATTCCTTATTAAGACCTCCTTTGATTTGGCCCCCCATCACCTGTCCCACCCCCATTCCCCACCACTCTGTTTCACTCACTGCACTGCAGGCACGCAGGTACTCTAACACACCAGGCATATCCCCTCTGCTTGAAGTGTTCTTCCTCCAGGTGGTCGCCATAGCTCACCTCCTTAAGTCATTCCATCTTCTGCTCAAATGTCTTCTCTTCAGAAGACTCCCTGACCACACTGGCATCCCCATCACTCTCTATCCCTTCTTTGCTTTATTTTTCCTGTGGGTTTTTTTTCCCCCCCTGAACACTTCCTGCCTCAGCCAGTATTTTAGTTCGTTTGTTAGTGAGTTCGCTAGTTGGTTATATACTTACCCACTAAAACACAGCTTTGGGAGAACAGGGACCCTCCGTACCGTTGTACCCCCAATTCCTAGAACAGTCCCTGGCACACAGGAAACTCTCCAAAAATATGCGTTGAATGAATGACTTGCCAAAGGCAAGGGGTGCAAATAAGCGCATGTCCAGTAGATTTCCATGGGCACCTGCTCCTCCCCAACATCCCCCCACATACCCACCCCTTTTCATCTCTAGGGAGAAGGCAACGCTTCCCGGGGTTGGAGGAAGGGCACCTCAGTTTCCTTCGTCCTCCCACCTCGTGGGGGAGTCAAGACTCAGTGGGCGGTGAGCGGACAGAGGTCCCTCTCTATGGTCTTACTCCCCAGGCCCCTCCCTAGCACCCGGCGTGCCTCTATGGTTCTTCCTGTCATTAGTCGGGAGGGGGCGCTGTGCGCAGGCGCGGGGTGAAGCCGCGGCGGGGCCGGAAGGAGTGCGGCGGCGGCCTCGGCGGCGGCGGCGACGACACTGTCGGCGGCCGCTCCTGGTGACTAAAAGCTGTGGCGACAGAGGCCGCCGAGCCCGCCTGGCGAGCCGGCGAGCTGAGTGGCGAGTAAGTGTCGGCAGCGGGGTGCACCCGACTCCTCGACAGGCCGCGTGAGGCGAGTGGCGTCTCAGCCCGGCGCCTCCATTAAGCCCCGGGGTGGGGGCGGGGGCGGGGGCCACGGCCGTGAGGGGCGGCGGGG